CTGTGCTTGGGTTCGTCCTTGGCAAGCATTTTCAGTCAAAAATAAAAGGGGTGACCCCTATACCACGAAGGCCCAGGCCAATCTGGAGCAGTGCGTCTTTACGGGGCAAGTGTCACACTACTTGAAGACAGTCTCCCCAGTGCGGTGTCTCATGCCACCACCTCTCCTTTCTTACTGGCTGCTGTGGGATCCTTTATCCTCAACTGGGGAGGAGAGGGGCAGAAATACTATACAAGGACCTTTAAGGCCAAGAGAATCAGTTTAATTTTATAAATATACCACTTAGTCGTCTCAGCTTATTCCCAAAGGCATTTACACAGTTCACAATGACCACTACCACTTGGAAGTGTTTCTGGGGGCCCGGCACTGAGCAGTCCAGTCAGCTTTCAGTCTTGGTGACTTGCTCCATCAGGCGAGCCCTCACAGAACAAGATGCTTCGGAAAGGGCTGTCCCCGGTTATGCACTCATGATTGCTTTTTGGCAGGAGGCATGGTCCCTGAGACCCTGGGTTTGGCACAAGCAGAGCTGCCACCATAGTACAGCCCTGGTGCTTGGATGAACAGGGCCACAGGCGACCCAGCCCCAGAGCTGCAGAAGCCAGCAGGGGTCAGCTCAGCTTTCAACACCAGAAAGACGAGCCTGTGGTGGCCTTTACTGCCTTCTCCCCCAGCTTTGCCAAAGCACTTCTAAGAGTGGCAGAACCTGGAATGAAAAGAGGCAGGGCCTCAGCTGGGTGGCTCCCCACAGGACGCACCCTGGCTTGGCTTCCTTCTTCCTCCAACTGTGCCTCCATGCCGGACACGCCAGACTCCTGCAGCTCTTGGGGACACCCAGACTTGGCACTTCCTGCTTCTGTAGCTGCCCTGTGCTCCCCTCTAAGCCCGGTCCTTCTCAGTGTGTGTGGAGCCTAAGGGATGCTGCAAGAGGGGAGGGAGGGCAGTCTCCCTGGAAGACAGCCACATCTTTCACCACTGGAATGTTTGCTGCGTGGGCCTCACCTGGCTGGCTCTACACTCATTAAGCATCATGTCTCACCTCCCAGATCAAGGGACCCTCCCCTGAGGCTGTTACAGGTACTTAAGTCCACAAACAAGTTGACTTTAGCTGCCCAGACCCTTTTCACTTGGGACCTATCAGATGTCGTCTTCGACAGTGCTGCTGTGCTCGCTGAGGAGGTACCACTTCAGCCTGTCTGGCAGAGGCAGGGCTTTGACCTTCACATCCACAGGCCATGGCTGGAGGTAGAGCCGGATGGACACGCGACACAGGTGCTTGAGGGGCGGGGGATAGCTCTCCAGCTGCCTCAGGGAGAAGTGGAGGGCCTGGATCTTTGCTGCCAGGCTGCCTACAGGGTGGATATCAAAGTTTTCTGGCAGTTGGAGTTTCTGGGAGTTAGTCACCATGAGATCCAGGACGGTCTCGGCTTTGCGCAGGAGGTCCACGTGGCTCTCGTCTTCGGCACTGCCCGGGTGGGAACAGAGCCTCTCAAAGATGATGTGGAAGCCAGACCAGCAGGACGCGCCATGCAGGGAACAGTTATAGGCGGCTCCGGACTCCAGCAGGAAGCGCAGGAGAGGGAAAGCCCGGGTGGGAACAGAGCCTCTCAAAGATGATGTGGAAGCCAGACCAGCAGGATGCGCCATGCAGGGAACAGTTATAGGCGGCTCCGGACTCCAGCAGGAAGCGCAGGAGAGGGAAGTGCAGTTTGAAGCTTTTGAGGCAGATTTGTGTGAGGGACTCATGGGCTGGGCACTCGCTGGGGTCCGCCCCGTGAGCCAGCAAGAGCTGAGTTACTTGGAAGCAGAAGCGGTTGATCATCTGGACCTCTTCTTTGTCCCCTCCCACGGTCTCACCAAGCAGGAAGATGATGCAAGTGAACACGGTGTCCCCGTCTTTGGTGGTAGCCTTGACGTCTGCCCCTACAAGAACCATGAGAATGACGGAAGGTGGGAGAAGGCCTTCAACCCTGCATTGTGAACGAGGTGGGGAGAGGCCGCAGAAACTGAAGTGCACTGTGGGGGGGATGAGGCTGGGGACATGCGACGGGCTCACCTCCCTCCAGCAAGAGCCGGATGTTCTCGGTGTTGTGGATCTGCACCCCGTCACTGCTGGCCAAAGCATGCAACAGGGCTGTCTTTCCTAGGGAGGCAGGAGAGAGTGGTGGGAGCCGGGGGCAACCCAGAGGGGAGGTGGGACAGACACTCTCACAGGAACACCAAATGTACTTTAAAAGAACTGACCTCAGCTAGGGCTCAGGGTGACAGGCTCTGGCCATTTTCTTTCCACCCGCACAAAACTGGGAGCAGAAGTGTAAGTGAGGTAGGATTTTTCTGGGCTCTGAGACACTGAGACCCAGGCAAGGCCATCAATGCCCCAGCAGCTGAGTACACACATAACCCGGTTTCCTCCTCCAGACAGCCCTCGAGGGGCCAGCATGGGGACAGTGACGCACTGCCTCTCTAAAGCCTCTGAACTCAGGCAAGTCAGCGCAATCCGCCTGTGTGCCCAGCCACGCTGTGCCACCACACGGGCTGGAATTCAGCCTGCATCTGGCAGCATCCTGGGGTACCCCGGGGTTCCCTTACAGGGCTCTTGGGGCCAATGGGAGACACCCACCATGCTTGTCAGCTGCATTGACATCTGCTCCCAGGTCCAGGAGGCGCTGCAGGCAGGGCAGGCGCTCCGGCTCCTCACTGGCCAGGTCCAAAGGGCTGCTCTCGTGGATCTGAGCCGAGGGAGCACAAGCCAGGTTGGCTGGGGGCTGCTCGGCTGCTCAGGCACCCCACTACATCCCCCTTCAAAGCAGGCTGGACCCGGCTCTCACCCGGTCCCTCCGGTTAATGTCAGCCCCATGGCGCACCAGCAGTTCCACCATGTCGGGCTGGTTCCGCAGGATGGCAATGTGCAGGGCCGTGTAGTAGGTGACTGGGTCTGAAGGCACAGGCACAGCTAGTGTCATTCCTGCTCAGCAGCACGTTCTCATGGGGTCCTAGGACCTGACCTTGAAGCCCAGCCCCAGCACTCCCTCCTGAAGTGTCCAGAAGGCAGAGGCCAAGGCTCCTGTCACCATCCGGGTCAGGACAGAGCTGTCCTCACCAAATGCTAGAGGGTCCTAGGGTCCTTTTACTGGGCACACTACTTCACCTGGTTGGGCTTTAGTTTTCTCATGGGGCCATAAAATGGGGCATCTCCTCTTGGGACTGTTGGGAGAAACAGCTCCTTGGCTGCTCTGCTCCATCAGCCAGGTAATAAGTCAAGTTCTCAAAGCTAGGTCTCCACGTGACTAACTGCAGAAGGTGCCCTCCCTCCTCAGCCTATCCTCACCCAGGGAGGGGAGACATGCTGGCCATATCTTGGGTCAGCACAGACTCCACATGTGGTCACAAGGCAGCCATGCCTGTCTCAGACTAACCTGCACTTCCCGGTGAAAGCCAGAGAGGAAAAGAGAACGGCTCCATCACCATCCCAGCACCCTCTAGCCACAGCCAACGCAGTCCTGCCGTGATTTATGCCCAGTGCGGCTTATCTGTTTTCCCCTCTCCTGGCACGAGCAAAGACGCAAGATGGCTCAGAGTAAGTGACAGAAAATGACTTCCCCTTAGCTCTGGGCACAGTGCCAGCAGCCGCATTTTCACATTAAGGGAAGTGGGGATTAATCTGGGAGCTGGGAAAGTTTGCTAAATCAATCACATGGTAGAAGCAGCAAGACACTTGCTTTTGTAACAAAGGTGGTAAGAGCCATTTGAAAGCCACAGAGGGACGGAAGGCACCCAGTGCAGGCTTCCTCAGTTGTCATCACCCAGGAAATAAGTGAGGGAAGTCACTCCTAAGAGAACAGTGAAAGCAGAAGCTAAGGACCTGGCTACCCTCCCAGAGCAGGCCCACGCTTAAGTCGCCCACCCCCCCAGCCCATCAGGGCTCCAGCTGACCTTCAAAGTTGAGATTGGCCCCGTTCCTCAGGAGAACGTCAGCAGCCCGTGTCAGCCCCAGCTCGGCCATCTTCAACAGGGCATTGCTCACGCCTTCCTGGTAAAATGGAGAGTGGGCCTTCCTCTCCAGCAGCTCAGTGAGAACAAGGATCCGGCTCTCCTCACTGGCGACATAACTGGGCCTGGAGCAGGAGAGAGCAGACCAGTTGAGGGTAGGGCCAGACACGGTACCAACTGACTTGGGCACCCTGTGGGTGGGTGGCATTTAGGGTCCTGCTGTAATCACCCACCAAGGCAGGGCCCTGGCTCTGTGGGGCGGGAAGTCTCTCCTGGGAGAAGGTATGAAGTGGAGAGAGGGCTGGGTGTATCTTTTAAACTGGAGCTGAGAAAAGACTGGTTCTGTCTTCAGTCTCCTCCCAAGTTGCCCATAGAATCTGGTCCCTGGATTGGGTACAAAGCCTCTCACCCGGGCTGTTGGGACTGAAGGGAACCCTTGAGGCTAGGGGCCGGAACCAGCCTCTGCCACTCCTTCACACTCAAAAACACTGACCCTCCTGAGCTGCAGGATGCCACACCAGCCAGGGCGGTCCCTCTGTACACCTTGGGACATTTAGCCTACCTCGCAGTCTTCTGAAGGATGAATGTACACAGGCTCTTCACATCCCAGCCCCCCGGACCCCCACCTACCTACCAGCCTCCCCCTCCCTGGCCAGCCCTAACTACTAAGAACTTCTGTGGCTTTCCCTAAAAGCTGACTCTGCACACAGCTGACAGAGTCCCAGACTCCGTCACAGGCCACCAGCTCCTCCTCTTAGGGAGCTTCCCTTCTCCCCGTTAGTCTCACCCTTCTATGCTCCTTCGACTGGCTGGTTCACGGTTCGACCCTTACTGCCTGGCAGGATTCCATCTCATCCCCCGCACCGACCCTAGCCCTGGAGAGTGCCCAGAGCACCACGGATGCAAAGCAAACATCTAGGACAGTTTCTGCTCAATGTCTGGGGCTACCAAAAATGCCATGCAGCCTCCCTCTGCTCTACCCTCACCCCAGCACAGCCGCAGAGTCAAGGAAACACCTTGCACTGCATTACGAGAACAAGCCTCAAAGTGAACAGAGCTGATGTAAGTGATGAAGAAAGCCTAGCTTCCACGAAAGTTCCTGGAGAGACTCATAATAATCCGTGTCTGAAATTCCAGCTGTTAACTCCCCACCCCCCACCTGAGCCCCTTTCCTCAGCTCTCCTCCCCATTACACCTAATATACTGTACAATTACTTAGGACTGTCAGTCTCTTCCCCGGCGCATAAGCACCGCGAGGGCTGGGGCTTTTGTTTAGCTCACAGGTGTAACCCAAGTGCTCGGGACGATGGGCAGCAAATACTGACTGATCACTAACACCTTTCCCACCTTTCCACAGGTTCACGGAGAGACCTGCTCTTGTCTACAAAATGCTAACTCAGCTACAAGAATTTTATTTTCCGCACTGCTCCTGGGTAGGAATGGAGGCCCTCACAGACTCCACCCTGCACCCCTGCAACTCCGGGGAGGCGGGCACAGGACAGGCAGGGCACAGGCTGGGGCCCTGGGGCGGAGGCCCTGGGGCGGAGGCCCTGCAGACATCCCACCCTCGGGCCCTGCCCTGCCCTTCGCCAGCGCCGGCCGGAAGCACCTTCCCCCCTGCAAGAGGCGGGACAGAGGTCAGCGCGGCAGAGCAAGCGCTTTCAGCCTCGCAAGAAAAGCGAAGGACACCGCTCCCCACTCCCGCCAGGCTGGGCATGACAAAGTGGGAAGCAGCGCCTGATCCGAGCGGCCTCGGCCACCGGCGGGAGGGAGCGAGTTACCCGTCCAGGGGCTCCTGCCGCTCGGGGTCCTGGATCCCCAAGGAGCCCAGAATGGCATCCACCAGCGGCTGGTACTCGAAGATGATCCTCCGGAAGCCGTGCAGGAACGGCATCGCGGGGGCCGCGCTTTCCGCCGAGGCCCCGCCTCGGCCTCCCGCTCTAGCCCCCAAGTCCGAGCCGGTCCGCCGCCCCAGCCGCTGCTCCGCGCCGGAAGTGACCGCCGCACTTCCGCACTTCCGGCCCGCGCCGGCTCAGGGATATGCGCTTGTGGCGACGGCGCCCCCTGCGGGCTCGGAGGACCCCGGCGCATGCCGGAGCGACCCGGGGCGGATCCGAGGGCTGTCCGGGCGCGCGGCCCCCGCCGAGG